AGTGATAAAATCATAAATTGTTATGTGACACTGAAGACTGAAGACTGGAGTAACGATGCTGAAAATTCAGCTTTGCATCACAGAAATAAATTACATCTTAAATATATATTTAAATAGAAAACAGTTAGTTCAAATTTTAATATTTCACAATATTACTGGTTTTACCTCTATTTTTGATCAAATATATGCAGCCTTGGTGAGCAAATGACAGTTCATTAAAAACTTTTTAAAATCATAATGTTTCCTTTTAACTTTTGACAAGCACTGCACATAAATTGTACAATTTCAAAATAACAAAGAAAAGTTCAAATCTACATAAGTAAATAATATTTTCTTCTGTTTTAAAACTTAAAAAATCTGGATCGCCTTATTTTTGTGTCCAAAACGGTGTGTTTTTTTTCTTATTTTAAGGCAGATTAAACGCAGCTGAATTAATTGGAACATTATATTTTATTCATACATAAGTTCATGTTTTCATACATGTTGTCATGTTTTCAATTTTCATACATAATATCTTGCATATTATTTTAATTATCAATCTTTGTTCACTAAATGTTTATTCAATAAAAACTTTGAATGTGTTGTGTATCCTAGTGGTTAGATAAAATCTTGATGCAGACTTGATTAGCAGAATGCTATTTGTGTGTTTACATATAAACACTATCAGAATTTTTTTTTTTTACAAAAGCTGTTACTGTGGTGGTACCTTTTGTACTTTATTTACCCTTAAAATATGTATATTAGTACCTTAAAGGTACATATTAATACCGAAAGAGAACATATTAGTACCTCATATTAGTGCCTGAACTCCCTCCCGACCTTGCCTCTCCTCTCCTCTTTTGCCCCGTGCACCACTGAACTCTGACCCTCTGATGGACTCTCCCACTCCCCCCTCCCAAATACACACACACACTGTCACTTTAATCAGTCTGAATAAGCTCTTTTGCACTACAATCATTATATCTGCACTGTTGTTTACTTCACTGGTTTGCTCTCTATCTGCCATGCGCCTTGTGCTGCTTTATATATTTTACCTAATTTGTATAATTGTATAGTTGTATTTTATATTTAAATCTGTATTTATGTTCTACTGTTAGTGTTATCTGTATGCACCAAGGGTCTGAGAGTAACACAATGTCAATTCTCTGTGTGTATGTGCTGTACATGTGGAAGAATTGACAATAAAGCAGACTTGACTTGACTTGACTATTTGGTATATATTAGTACCTTTTGAAAAGGTACTGGCCATGGGATGAACCATTTTTCCTTCATGGAGGAGCATTTGAAGCATTAGACGTGTTGCCCTATAATTAACAGCAGCCTCACTTTCCGGAAACGGGAACACTTCACATGGCACCCAATGTACTTGTTACATCTTAAAGGGTTAGTTCACCCAAAAATGAAAATTATATCATTAATTACTCACCCACATGTCGTTCCAAACCTGTAAGGCCTTCGTTCATCTTCGGAACACAAATGAAGATATTTTTGATGGAATCTGAGAGCTGTCTGAACCTGCATAGACAGCAATGCAACTGAGACGTAGCAAGGAGATCTGTAAAATAATCCATGTGACATCAGTGGTTCATCCGCAATTATACGAAGCTACGAGAATACTTTTTGTGCACAAAAGAAAAAGATAACGACTTTATTCAACAATTCGTCTCCTCCGCATCACCCTGGTGCCATTCTGGAGAATATCCGCTGGACGTAAACAGCGTATGCTGTTCTGTGTCAGCTGCGTCACACGGATACACTGTTTCCGTTCATATCAAATCACAACAACGTAGGAAACAGATCCGGCGTGACGCAGCGGACACAGAACATAGCATACGCTGTTTACGTCCAGCGGATATTCTCCAAAATGGCACCAGGGTGATTCGGAGGAGACGAATTGTTGAATAAAGTCGTTATCTTTTTCTTTTGCGCACAAAAAGTATTCTCGTAGCTTCGTATAATTGCGGATGAACCACTGAAGTTATTATTATTATAATAACTATTATTACTATTATTTTACAGATCTCCTCGTTACATTTCTGGACTTGGGAACATTTCAGTTGCGTTGCTGTCTATGCAGGGTCAGACAGCTCTCAGATTCCATCAAAAATATCTTCATTTGTGTTCCGAAGATGAACGAAGGCCTTACAGGTTTGGAACGACATGTGGGTGAGTAATTAATGACAGAATTTTCATTTTTGGGTGAACTAACCGTTTGAGACGAATGGCATCTACACTAATATTAGTCTGTTTTATTCTCATTCCGAGGTCACCGTAGCCTCCCAGAACCAGCCCAGATGGTGGATCAGCATCTAGAGACCACCTCTACAGCCCTGAATGTCAGCGGAGACCATGTCAAATAGATGAGCCCCAGAGACAGATCCCCAGCGAAGACCTCGTCACCTCGACGACCATCGGCACAAGACCACTGGAACCAGAAGAGTCCTCTGCACAATCTGACCTGTGTTGCAGCCTGGAATTAAACCAATCCATGCTGGTTTCGTCTGGTCAGAGGAGAACTGGCTCCCCGACTGAGCCTGGTTTCTCCCAAGGTTTTTTTTTCTCCATTCGGTCACCGATGGAGTTTTGGTTCTTTGCCATGCACTGTCGCCTTTGGCTTGCTTAGTTGGGGACGCTTAATTTCTGGCAACATTGTCAACTTGATTGGACAGGCAATATTTGAAATGAACTGAGCTGGACGATGACATCACTGAATCAATGATGAACTGACTTAAACTGAAAAATTGATTGTTTGTTATTGTCCTCTTGCATTATCGGCACACTATTTCCCTGTTTAATACTGTAAAACTGCTTTAACACAATCTGTCTTATATAAAGCGCTATATAAATAAAGGTGACTTGACTTTCACAGCACTTTGTGAGTTGCATTACCTGCTTGCATGCTCACCTTTGCCTGCTAACATTAAAGAGATGAAAGTAGCCTGAAGTACAAAACTGCCTAGACAAACAGCAAAAGGTCAGGAAATAGATTTGTTGCTCTGAAATGTCACCATCTTCAAGCTTAATGTGAAGACACAGACATTTAAAGCCTGACAAAAGAGCCAATCAGAGACTCATTAAACATCAGAGCGGAGACAGCAAACACTCCATATAGGTTATTAAAACACACAAAGCATGTGCTAGAAGATTACTTTATTCGCTTACGTGAAAATATATCTTCATACAATCAAACGCCAAAAAATCTGTATCAAAAACATTTTCAAAACAGGAAAAATGAGAGAGAGAAAAAAAAATTATTGCTAAATACAAAACTGCAGTGTTCTCAATTGTGCCAAATCCAGATGGAGCCGTTTATCTGGTCAGAGGATGATATTTCAATAGCATCATTAGGCTAATATTGTGTTAATTAAGTACAAAAACAAAGTTATAAGATGAAGAGAAACAAAAAAAATAGCAAAATTAGTGGTCATTGAAGTACAACTGTATGCTGGCTGTTTCCCACATTACTTGATTCATTAATTAATGGGCGTATATGTAGGTTTAAGTGTTAACGAGAAATGAGGTGAACACAATTCACTGTAGCCCTTGAGATCTATGAATGAAATGATATGGAGTTTATAGACTCCAAGATACATTCAGGAGTATGTGCTAAAGATAGTGTAGTATAAAGTATAACTAAATTGAAATTAGTGTAGCACTCCCCGACTGAGCCTGGTTTCTCCCAAGGTTTTTTTTTCTCCATTCGGTCACCGATGGAGTTTTGGTTCTTTGCCATGCACTGTCGCCTTTGGCTTGCTTAGTTGGGGACGCTTAATTTCTGGCAACATTGTCAACTTGATTGGACAGGCAATATTTGAAATGAACTGAGCTGGACGATGACATCACTGAATCAATGATGAACTGACTTAAACTGAAAAATTGATTGTTTGTTATTGTCCTCTTGCATTATCGGCACACTATTTCCCTGTTTAATACTGTAAAACTGCTTTAACACAATCTGTCTTATATAAAGCGCTATATAAATAAAGGTGACTTGACTTTCACAGCACTTTGTGAGTTGCATTACCTGCTTGCATGCTCACCTTTGCCTGCTAACATTAAAGAGATGAAAGTAGCCTGAAGTACAAAACTGCCTAGACAAACAGCAAAAGGTCAGGAAATAGATTTGTTGCTCTGAAATGTCACCATCTTCAAGCTTAATGTGAAGACACAGACATTTAAAGCCTGACAAAAGAGCCAATCAGAGACTCATTAAACATCAGAGCGGAGACAGCAAACACTCCATATAGGTTATTAAAACACACAAAGCATGTGCTAGAAGATTACTTTATTCGCTTACGTGAAAATATATCTTCATACAATCAAACGCCAAAAAATCTGTATCAAAAACATTTTCAAAACAGGAAAAATGAGAGAGAGAAAAAAAAATTATTGCTAAATACAAAACTGCAGTGTTCTCAATTGTGCCAAATCCAGATGGAGCCGTTTATCTGGTCAGAGGATGATATTTCAATAGCATCATTAGGCTAATATTGTGTTAATTAAGTACAAAAACAAAGTTATAAGATGAAGAGAAACAAAAAAAATAGCAAAATTAGTGGTCATTGAAGTACAACTGTATGCTGGCTGTTTCCCACATTACTTGATTCATTAATTAATGGGCGTATATGTAGGTTTAAGTGTTAACGAGAAATGAGGTGAACACAATTCACTGTAGCCCTTGAGATCTATGAATGAAATGATATGGAGTTTATAGACTCCAAGATACATTCAGGAGTATGTGCTAAAGATAGTGTAGTATAAAGTATAACTAAATTGAAATTAGTGTAGCAAAGTATGGAATACAAACCACATTCTTTAGATTGCACTCACACACACACTGGTTCAGTTAGAGTTCAATACATCAAAATGATCTTTAACACAAATCCTTGTTAGTCCACACTGAGTGTAAAGGGTTTCTTGACATCACTCTTTGGCTGAGGGAGGCTGCTTGTTTTTTATTAGTTAAAACATGTACTGAACATGTGATTAACCAATAAAGACATTCGATTAGCTCTGCATTAGTGTTGCATCATGGACTGTCTGACTGCATTCTCCAGGGATTTTCTGGTGACGAGAAGCCTGACCACATCTTCATTCTTCTTGGTGAGTTTCTTTCGTGCCTGATCATGTGTCACCATAGTCATGTCCCAGCCGTTTACCTGAAAAAATTACATTAAGCGCACAAAATAAACACTTAAATAAATATCTAGTTCAGTCATAAAACTGTAGATGGCGCAGTTTCTTTGCATGCAATCTGTTAGCAATCACATCATTTACTACATGGCACAGGCTAATTCTGTAGCCAATAAGCTTGCTTGAACAACATTTAAATCGTCTGGTTCAATGTTCGCTGTATTAGCCAGTTATTTAGAATGACATCTGCCGATACTGATTCCGATACGGATTGTCTGATTTTCTTAAAGGGGTGGTTGACTGGGTTTTTTTCTAGGCTTGGTTGTGTTTATGGGGTGCAGTCTAACATGTGTTTATGCTTTGTTTTTTAAAAAACGCATTATTTTTCACATAATTTACCTTTATTCCACACCGATCTGTCCCTTCTCTGACAAACGACTCGATTATTTCCTGTTTTTATGAAGCCCCTCCTTCAGATATACGCGATGGGCTGTGATTGGTCAGCTGGCTCAGTGTGTTGTGATTCGCTAAACCGCCTCTAGAGCGCGTCTGAACATCCCGCCCCTCAAGCTCAGAATGTGCTCCGGTTGTATTGTAAACAATGACGACCTCTATATTGCTTATCAATCTGAGCCCAATTGAGACATAGAGAATATTAATGAAGAGGATTGAGCAGAACCTGTGTAAGCACTGCTCTTAAAGGTATGTTTGTTTGTTGTTGTCCCATACTTTTAGATACGCTGTTGTTTGTAAATGCTACTGCTTCTGTTAGCTTTTAATATACGGTTTTATTCTGATTAAAGCTTTAATACAGCACAGCAACCGTATGCACGTCCATGTATAACGCTTCTCATAGCTATGTGAAAATAAGTGTATAAATGGAACAGTTTGTTGGAGCTGATCTGACGATCTGAATGAGAGAGAGAGAGAGAGAGATGCAGAGCAGGGCGACGTGAGGAACAGGATTGAGAACCGCTGCTTTTGAACATTGGTTTTGAAACTTGTGAATCCATTAGAATCGTTAGAAGACAGAATCGCGATTCATATATGAACAGATTTTTACATGCACCTCTAGTTTTCTCTTCGCTAAAGCAGTGCAGCATGGCCCCGCCCCCTTTGTTGCGTGTTCCCGGGGGCGGGGTTTATCTGGGTTTGTGATGTCACGCACCCGGGAAGAAGCTCGTTGTAGTCCCTCACCAGCCGTTTTTGTAGGCATTAAACTGACAGAATTTTAAAAGATCATGGCCCCGCCCCCTTTGTTGCGTGTTCCCGGGGGCGGGGTTTATCTGGGTTTGTGATGTCACGCACCCGGGAAGAAGCTCGTTGTAGTCCCTCACCAGCCGTTTTTGTAGGCATTAAACTGACAGAATTTTAAAAGATGATATCTCCGTTTGCATTGAACTTTCAGCGCTGCAACTTCGCAGATATTGTTTATGCTCAAACAGCAACATTACACACTAACTAACGTTAAAAAAGTGAAATCGCAGTCAACCACCCCTTTAAAGGAAAAAAACTCTCCCAACTAATGCTGAAAACTACACCGGGAATCATCTTTCCGTGAGTGATTATAAGAGAGATGACACATTTTGGTAAGTTATATTGCATCTTTCAACATGCTCCGTGTTGCCGCTTAAACTGAGGCGCTACAGCAATCTGTCACACCACATTTACGAGCGTCAAAAACGGTTGGAACCGAAGTCTGCAGGACGGTAGGTGAGTAAATAATGACAGAAATTAGCTTTTTTGGGTGAACCAAAAAAGTGTAAGTATTAAGTATCACTAAGGCCCAATCCCAATTCTATTTTATACCCCTTCCCCTTGTCCCTTGAAACAGAATGTCAAGTGGTAGGGGTGAAAATATTCCCCAAAGAATTGGGACACCACTGCTATGCCGTCACACGTCATCATACGTCATTTAGCTCCTACAATACACACATCTATACTGGTGTGCTGGTGTGCAATAGAGCCTTTAATTACCGTTCTATATTAATGCACTACTTACTGACACGCACGCACACACGCACGCACACACATCCAGGAGAAAAGAAACTTGTCAACGCTGCCCCACGACTTTTATTAATAACAATTTAAATACTGAATCGCTACATTATATTTTCCAGCAACGAGAGGATAAAATCTTTTTTTTTAAGCATTCATATGCAACTCTCTCTCTCTCTCTCTCTCTCTCGAAATGGCAATATTTGAGAAAAGGGTTAAGCGATTTCTAATTATTGGGGGGACTAGCCCCCCTCAATGTCTATGGTGGTTATCGCCCTGATCAGACATGAAAATATGTTGTGGCACTATCGTGCAGTCGGTAATGATATGACGTTAGTTAGCAGCGAGTGGTAGGGGTGAAAATATTCCCCAAAGAATTGGGACACCACTGCTATGCCGTCACACGTCATCATACGTCATTTAGCTCCTACAATACACACATCTATACTGGTGTATTAGAGCCTTTAATTACCGTTCTATATTAATGCGCTGCTTACTGACACACACATATCGGAGGTTGCGCAGCTCACACATCCAGGAGCAAAGAAACTTGTCAACGCTGCCTCATGACTTTTATCATTATATTTTCCAGCAACGAGAGGATAAAATCTTTTTTTTTAAGCATTCATGCAACTCTCTCTCTCTCTCTCTCGAAATGGCAATATTTGAGAAAAGGGTTAAGCAATTTCTAATTATTGGGGGGACTAGCCCCCCTCAATGTCTATGGTGGTTATCGCCCTGATCAGACATGAAAATATGTTGTGGCACTATCGTGCAGTCGATAATGATATGACGTTAGTTAGCAGCGAATTTTTGCTAACACTTCTTTGAGAAACATGACCGTAAATATGAACTCACGATTGAATGTAACATAAAACAAATTATTATTCTTCGTTAAAATCTTTATTAATGCCAACAATGCTTACATTTATGTGTCTTTTTAGTTCGCTCGGGCAGCCATGTTGCCCCTGAAGCCGGTTTACGCTGAGATAATTCATACAATAACAATTTAAATACTTAAATACTGCATTATATTTTCCAGCAACGAGAGGATAAAATCGTAGTTTTTTTAAGCATTCATGCAACTCTCTCTCTCTCTCTCTCTCTCTCGAAATGGCAATATTTGAGAAAAGGGTTAAGCGATTTCTAATTATTGGGGGGACTAGCCCCCCTCAATGTCTATGGTGGTTATCGCCCTGATCAGACATGAAAATATGTTGTGGCACTATCGTGCAGTCGATAATGATATGACGTTAGTTAGCAGCGAATTTTTGCTAACACTTCTTTGAGAAACATGACCGTAAATATGAACTCACGATTGAATGTAACATAAAACAAATTATTATTCTTCGTTAAAATCTTTATTAATGCCAACAATGCTTACATTTATGTGTCTTTTTAGTTCGCTCGGGCAGCCATGTTGCCCCTGAAGCCGGTTTACGCTGAGATAATTCATACTCCTTTGTTTGAAGTGTGGTCCCGAAAAATCTGGCCCTTCCCCTACCCCTCCAACCAAAAGAGAATCGAGACACCCCTACCCCTTCACGTGAACGTGCGAAATGGAGGGGTAGGGGAAAGGGGAAGGGCTAAGGGGTAGAGAATTGGGATTGGGCCTAAATGAAAAAAAAAAGATAGAAAGATAATGATGCCACAGCGCCCTCTAGTGGAGGATCATTCAGTAAAATCAGGAATCGTTTGGTTTTGTGACCTGAACAAAACTCTCCATCACCGCGAGGAATCACATACAATAATTTCTTATATTATGGCTGACAGGTCTGGATCTCTCACCTGCATGATTTTGTCCCCCATCCTGAGACCAGCCACCTCTGCAGGTCCACCTTTAGACACGCGTGTGACATAGATGCCCTGCGACATACACAAAGTTAGAAGAGTCACCTCTGAAAGACAAAGGAGGAAAACGCCTCCCTCTAAATGCCAAATAATTTTACAAAACATGATTTTTCACCTTGTCCGTCTTGTCTTCAGAAAAAGGATTCTGGCTTGAATCTTGGTCGATTCCCCCTCCAATGCTGAAAAAAAAAAAAGATAGAAAGATAATGATGCCACAGCGCCCTCTAGTGGAGGATCATTCAGTAAAATCAGGAATCGTTTGGTTTTGTGACCTGAACAAAACTCTCCATCACCGCGAGGAATCACATACAATCATTTCTTATATTATGGCTGACAGGTCTGGATCTCTCACCTGCATGATTTTGTCCCCCATCCTGAGACCAGCCACCTCTGCAGGTCCACCTTTAGACACGCGTGTGACATAGATGCCCTGCGACATACACAAAGTTAGAAGAGTCACCTCTGAAAGACAAAGGAGGAAAATGCCTCCCTCTAAATGCCAAATAATTTTACAAAACATGATTTTTCACCTTGTCCGTCTTGTCTTCAGAAAAAGGATTCTGGCTTGAATCTTGGTCGATTCCCCCTCCAATGCTGAATCCTAATATTAAATTATCACCATCCCGTAGTTTGTGAATCTCAATTCGTTGCTGAAACACAGAGAGGAAAAACAAGACAGCTGAGTTATAAGGCAGGCACACTAAGTATGTGTCTCAAAAGTAGTTAGCTATATACACAGGCAGCATTTCTGAGAACGATGCCCAAAACTACTGTCAAGGTAAGCGGCTAACTAGGATTTAAGATAGATCCTATGGCACAGCTGTTTATGAGCAGTGTTGGGGAAAGTTACTTTTAAAAGTAATGCATTACAATATTGCGTTACTCCATAAAAAAGTAACTAATTATGTTACTTAGTTACTTTTTATGGAAAGTAATGCGTTACGTTAATTTTGCGTTACTTTTAAAATCTGGACAGGGCTTTCTTGTTTGTTTTTAAAATAAAAAAGTTCTATTTTTGGCAAATATAAAAGCCTTTTCACAGCAAAAGTGAAATGAATAAGCCTCAGGCTGAAGGGAAAGTAGATTTACGTCCGTACAGTAGAACGCAGAAGAAGACATTTCAACACACTTCAGCAATAAACAAA